TTCTTATTTGATCCTTGAAGTTCCAATTGCAACAATCGAATCGTTAGAGTTTTAATTCTATTTTAGTTTAATCTTTACGTCAAAATTCACAAATTTATTATGACAGAATGATTTTTTGTGACCAACACATGACTTAGGTAAAAGAGTATATTTGGCTGGTGAAAATTTTTCTACGTGTAGGCTAGATTTTTTTACTAAATTTCATATAATTTATAGAAAAAGAAGATAACAACCCAAACAAAAAGATATAGGGTGAGCAAAAAAGAAGAGATACAGATTGAGAATTTGAGAAATACTATAAGACAAAGAGAGCTACTGTGAGACAAAGAAAAATATCAGTGTATTTGAGAGAAATTTTTGTTGCTAGCTGCACAATCAAACCCTTATGGGCAAGTCCTGTGAGGGACTTTTGTCGGAATAAATTAGTAGATTTAAATAAAAGGATTGAAATTAAAACACATTTAAAATTTTAAGGATATAATTGTTTATATTAAAACTTGAGGAACCAAATAACAATTATATGCATACTTTAAGGGTATAAAGAAGGTATAATCAATTGTTTATGCATACCAAATAACAAATTTGAATACCCCTAGTAGTCATGTTTAATTAAAACAAATTTGCAAACTAACAACTCTTAAATTTTAAGAATTTGACTAACATTAAAATTTTCTCTCCCATATCTATTTATTTTTATATATAAAATAGGACTATTTAGTGTGTGTGTGTGTGTGTGTGTGTGTATATATATATATATATATATATATATATATATATATATATATAGATAGATAAAGAGAGAGAGAGAGAGTATCAGTTGTTCTTTGAATTTAAATTCCAAATTTATGTAAAAAAAATTAATGGCATATCTTCATTGATAGTAAATTAAGGGATAATAATTTCTAAGTTGGGAAACTAATTTAAAGTTAATTTTAAGGAAGGGTATTTTAGAGTTTAAAAACATAGTGGACGTAGCTACTTATTAGTTTAAAATGAACTTATCCTCAAATAAGTGTCTTCGACGGATTAAACTTATTATAAGTGTCTTAATGAGGACTTTTTCCCAATTTTTACTAAATTGTAAACCCCTCATACATGCAAACAGATTTGATATATTTCATTTTGAGCGTACTCTTACTCTTTCTCTTTCTTACTTCCTTATACTCTTTCATTAATAGAGTTCTCCGGCCATCGTTGTTGCATTCAGTGGCTAGATCACCTAGACCCAACTGTCCAGTCTTTGTCTTTTATTATTAATTGATTCATTAATTACTCTACACCATACACTCGACTGATTTAATTGTGTATAATTAACTTTGTGCATTATCAATTTATTTTATTCCTGAGCTTTAAGGGTTCAATTTAATCATTGTTTAAGAGATTTTGTTTGTATATGGTTTGGAAAATCTCCCATGAAAAGTACACACATAAATAGGTCTATTACACATGCAATAAGATGTTCTGTGTGATTTATTTTATCTTTATCTTGTCAGTTCTACATATCCTAGAAATAGAGTTGGATTGAAGTAGTTATCACATAAGAAGATAATAATACACAAAACCACATAGATGTTTGTGTTTTGTTCCCTTCCCAATTCCTTTCTACCAACATGTAATATGAGAGTCATCAAAACAAATTAATTTTATCATTCAAGGAAACTTCGAACAATGAATTTTTAATACCATTAATCTAGTGGTAATTAATAACTATGAGATTGTTGGTTTGTTTATGAGGACAATCATTTTGTGCAAATAATGACAAATGTTAGGTCTGTACTCCGCTCACCCATGTCGACATCCTTGATTGATTCGATTCCATCAATAGATATAGACATCACTCTAATTTTGTTTGATACATCTTGGAAAACAATAATGGTATGCAAATGTATTCTGAAAGGTTAGTTGTCCTAAGTATAGCATGTGGCACCATGATTTATCACATGCAAGAACGTGACAAACTAAGGTGTTCGGGTTAGGTTGAATGAGAGGTAGAAAACCCTTTGCACAGATATGGCATCATGACTAAAGTGGTTTTTGAGGCCAAAAACAAGAAATTCACTGCTTAAGAAAACATGTGTGGAAGGTTCAAGTACAGTTCGGGGTAATGTGAGATATATTATATTTAAAGAGAATTTAGTTGATAAATACGCTAAATCTCGAGGAAGTATCTAGTTGAATATCTCACTTCTTTCATGGAAACGAAATTAAGTCATTCGCCTACGTTTCCGGGATGCATCTCAAAAAACAAATTCCAAAAAACTAAGAAAACATATAAAGAAGGTTCATCACAGCCACCTCTTCCATCAAAAATTTCAAACAAATCAAAACTTCTCTTTAAAGGCAGAAGCTCCATAGTCAGTCAATCCATTCGCTATTCCCTTGTTTCAGCCTTAACAGAACACTCACGCACATATCCCAATTAACCCATGTCATCAAATACAACCATCCTCTTCCTTCTCAAAACAGGTAACTCCATCAGGTCATTTCGCAAAACAACCCCAACCTCACAGGGCAACTGAGAGACCGAAAAATCAACAGACCTTCTATTCACCACAGCTTGAGCAGCTAACCTATCAGATATATAACAGCCGATACCCCACCAAACCTCCCAGAAAGTTTTTGATCTGCCTCAAATAATCCAGACAAGGCCACGGACAAACACAAACCCCATGACTGAATTAACAAGAACCAACGAATCACACTCAATGATAAAACTATAACAAGCAAGTCCATATGACATAACAAGCTGAAGTCCATCACAAAGAGCCCTAAATTCAGCAAGCATATTAGAACATTCCCCATAAAAGAAAGAGGCAGCTAAAACCAATCTCCCCCATTCATTCCTCACAACACTATTCCTCCACCTGCAACTCCCGGATTATTCGTTGAAGCGCCATCAGTATTAAGTTTCAAAAAACCAATAGTAGGACAACACCATCGCACCCAAACACACTTCACCAAAACAGCACAAGACAAATCAATTTGCAAAAAGTCCAAACAAGCTTTCCCACTAGCATCATCTTGAACTTTAGGTTTAACATTCTTCACCTGAAATCTCAAAAGACTGCAGATCCGTACAAAAACAGAATTAGAATGTAACTTCCCCTCTCCAGCAATCCTTCTACATCTTTCCTTCCACAACTGCCAATAAATGACCAAAGCCAGACTCCTCAACTGGCCATGACTAAAAGAATTCCTCTTAAAAATCTACATAGTCTTCTAAATCTTACCAAAGGACCCTCATATAATTTTTGTTTTTATATGTAATTTGGCTTTCAAGTTCTTTTGAACTTTTTTGTAAGTAGTATTTGATTTTAAAATTCTTTTGGACTCTTTTATAAGTAATTCACTTATATAAAAGTTTTCATATCTATGTCTACATCTATATGAAGGAACAAAGAAAAATCTATATTATATTATTATATACATATAGTTATTAAATTGAATTCTATGATCAAATAAATGTGATATTTTTTTTATCAATAATTAGGTTTAACAATCAATAATTAGTGATTTTTTTTGCTGCAATATTAAAATTTTCATTAATTAAATTCACAACCTATTTTTAAGAACAACAATAATTTTTCACCACTAAAAACATATATGTAGTGGCGACATTTTTAGCCGTAAATTAAATACTACCACTAAAAGTCCAATTTCTTGTAGAGTAGGGTTAGCAATAAATAACATATAGATTAATTTTTTTAACACAAAATTTATCATTTAATTTAATTACTCATAAAATTTATATTTTTATAAATTTAACAAAAAAAATTATTATTAAAATTGTTCACGTACAATGTACACGCCGTTGCTTGTATGCGCAAACGCATGCATGAAAGAAAATTATTAATTATGCTGAAAGTCAAATAATGTGGGTGAACTCTCAATGTAATGCCAATTCATGTGGCACATAAGGTCACTTTCATTATTCTTCTTCTGTCTTAACCTGTTTTAAATAGAATATTGTAATATGTTATGTTCGGGTTATATGATTTTTGAAATGTATTATTTTAAGTTTTTTCTAGTGGGAGGTTAAGGGTTCAAAGCTTTCATGGCACAAAAAAACGTGATTCCTTGGTTGGACAAAATTTTAATTGTTTGAAAGAACTGTATCTAAGTCTTTAATATAAGTCTTGAGTCTATGACGACACGCAAGTTTTGATTTAAATAGTGTATGAGTTGAAGGATCGATTCATACACCCGAACTTTGTCCTTTGTTGTACTCAAAGTCACTCGCCTGAGCGACATTAGCACGCATCTACTTGCTGAAGAGATAATGAAATTTTCCGATCTACTACCCGTTCAGTTCTTCACAAATGAAAAATTCACTGGCGCGCAATGTAGCAAGTATCAAATGTCTTTGTAAACACTAAAAACTCAAGCCAACAAAAAAAAAACAAAAACAAAGAATAAGTAGTTGTCTTCTCACAATACCAGTCGGATTTGAAATTGAGTGGGATCAATACCATTTAGTCCGGATTGAAAAAACGATCAAGACTCAACTTCTACGACATATTTTCGACAGGAACGAACACATCTGCCATGAAGAGCTAATCAACCATCCAAATACACTAATTCAAACAATACAAGAGATTGATTTTGTGGTTGGAAAAAACAAACTTATAAAGGAATCATATATTTTAAACATTCCATACCTTCAAGTGATTGTTAAGAAAACATTAAGGCTTGGCCCCGCTAGCCCATTAAACAATAGGGATCGATTTTGTCCTTTGCAGTTGAACATTACTAAATTTTGGCAGAAACCCGACTCTTCATTAATGTGTGGGCCATCGACTAGGACTCGAACTACTAGAAAAATCCGCTTCAGTTTCAACCAGTGAGATTTGTAAATAGAAAAGGAGATAAAAAGAGCAAGTTGGAGGTGACAACACTTTAGGCCCCAGCTGGCCATGATGGACGGCCAGAGAGAAAGTTTAAAATGGCTATATTTTTTTTATTCAGAAGATAAGTAATCTTATTGATCCAAAGGCATAGATATTACAATGAAGCTTAAAATATCTAACAGAATATACACAATATGTTCACGAAGGTAACTTGCACAAAGCAGACAGCCTAATCTACAGGAAAAACAACTCCTGTTCAAAGCTAGGCTGTGAGAAAGACAAAATAGTAATTCAGTAGCCAATGGCCTAGCACTAATTTACTAATCAGGCCCATCCAGAGAAAAATGGATTGAGCCTAGCCACTGGAACACACAGCAAATGATGAGCTCTTGGAACAGTGAAACCAGGTCCCTCTTCCATGTTCACACTTCCATTTCCTCCAGCACCAACCTTCCATTCAAAGCACTGAATCATAGTAGCAAGACTTGTTTGAACCACCTGTAACGCTAGTGAAGTTCCGGGGCATCCTCTGCGGCCACTCCCGAATGGCAACAAATGAAATGTTGTCCCCTCACAAATGAAAATGTCTGATTCCTCCACTGGTCTCTTCTTTCCAACCACAGAATCAATCTCTTGTTGTGCTTTCTCCATTATATTTGGATGGTTGATTAGCTCTGCTAGTGCCCACTCAATTGTAATGGCAGTTGTGTCTGTACCAGCAAAAAATATATCCTGTATATAGAAAAAATCTAAGTCTCCTTTAAATTGGATCATAATTTTCTCCAAAAAGCCTTTTTAATAATTAATGCACCAATTGTCTCAACCTACATACAAAAATGCTAATTATATGAACAACATAAATAATGCTTAACTACATCATTGAAACACATAAAATCTTTCTAAAATTTTGAAATAACTATCTGTGTCACTTCGGCCGACAAAACTACAGTCATTTACTCATCAAAATACATGTAATATGCATTTCTTATAACAAGAGAAAAAACTTAAAATTGTCCAAAACGATAGATTACCAGGATGAAGGCCTTGATGTTCTCTTTGGTGAGTCTCATCTCTGAGGTCTCATCTTCAGAAATGTCAAGTAAAATATCAAGCAGATCTTTCACCACCTCACTTCCACCACCACTTTTCTTCCTCTTCCTCCTTTCCTCTTCATGTTCCCTTATGATTTTCTCCATCATCTCATTGTAGGTGTCGCGAACGTGCCTAAGCCTCTTTCTGAATCCTTGCAAATCCAAATTCTTACAGAACCATATAAATTCAGACAAATTAAACTTCCCCATGAGTTCACCTATCTCTTGAATCAGCGTCCTAATCTGACCTGCCTCATCCCCATTTTCAGAACATCTCTTGCCCATTATCATTCTTGATATTACATTGTCAGTTAGGTTTATAAGCTCTCCTCCACCATCAACTGCCTCACTAGCTGTGGCTTTTTTCGATAGTAATTCGATAAAACGTTGAATCTCATCTCGTCTAACCAAATGGAGAAGGTCTAGCGTTCGTCCACCAAGAAGTTCCGACATGCTTAGTTTCCTCATGAACTTCCAGTAAGGTCCAAAAACAAAAGCTTGTGAGCCATAATTTATGTAGTCAATAGCAGCAAATGGGGGTCGGTTCAAAAATGAAGATTCATTGTTTTTGAGGATCGCTTTGGCCATTTCAGGTGAGGAAGCCACAACACAAGGGACAGAGCCAAAGAAGATCTGAATTAAGGGTCCACAACGTTTTGAGAGCTTGTGAAGTGCTTGGTGGGGTTTTGGAGAAAGAAGGTGGAGGTGACCGATGATCGGAAGGGCTGTTGGGCTTGGAGGAAGATGTGACTTTCGACTCTTGAAGAGGATTCGGAGAGGTATGGTGGAGATAAGCAAGATGAGGAAGAGAATGATATAGCTTTGTGATGGGACATTTTCGAGATACTCCAAGATGAAGACACGTGTCCTCGGTGTCACTAATCCCTGTTACTGAGATCACGTACGCATCGGTTCACAAAGTCTCTCTCCCCCGAGGTATTTGTCATAGGGATCAAGTGGCATCCAGTACGGTTTACGTACCGACACGTATCCCTCGGTCTGATATAGGTACATCGGTCGCTATATGTACCAATCCCCCTCGGTACCGATATGTACCAATGTCCAGGATGGCATTCTCTTCTCCTGCCGAGCTACTGATGTACAGGTCACTAGCCTAAGCTAGGCTAGGTTAGTTATCATGATCTCGTCTTACACAATTGGTGTCAGAAGGCACAGGAAGGCAGGGGCCACAGCCAATCGAGAATGGACGAGTGGCATATTGTATCACATCAAAGACAGAAAGACCGCATGCACTTGCTGACACACGACTTGGGAAAGCAAGGGTTTAATTACATCATTCCCTTGAAGAGACTGCATTCAATGCGATAAGGCTCGGAAGTGAAAGACAATAAATGTCTCTGAGGCTGGACATTTATTGCATCCTCCCCGAGAGGAGCTCATTAAACAGTCGGCATGCCGATGACACAGCCTTGGTTGCTCGGGATCCCGAGCAATTAAAAGGGAAGACATTCCTCGTAGGAATCAGTGCGCACGTTACCTGTATCTAATGATCACCTACTGACCACACTGACAGCAATCATGAGTATTTGAGGTATAAATACTCCTCGCAAAAGGCAAGGTAAGAAAGGAGAACAAAAGATCTTTGCTACGAATTATACTCAGTGTTTTCTTTTTCCTCTCTCTCAAAAACTGACTTGATCGTCGGAGGGGATACGCCGAAAAACACTCCGACGCCCTTCTAACTTGTCTTTCTTCTTTGTTCCAGGCACCTCCCTCAGCCTTACTGGATCGTTCCATCGACCCACGAGGGTCTCTCGTTACCGTTTCAGGTTACCACCGGACCTCACAGGCCGTCCCAGGCAGCAGGGTTGGCCATTCGACTGACTCACTCGAGTTCACCAAGGGAGAGATCTGTTCTCTTGTTTATATTGTGTAAGATCCAGCACGCTCACTTTGAAAGTCGGCCATTGCTGAAACTTCAAAAAAATTATACCTCCAATGTTGGCTAGGCAGTGATGTTTATTCCTTCTTAAACGAAGTTCTAAAGAACCAAAAAAAAGCAATTCCACTGCATAAGGCACCCACTAGAGGCAAGAGACGATTAGTTACACATACTTCTACCCAACTTTGTGCATTAAAGAGTTTGTATCTCACCTTTGAAGGTGATAAATTTATCTCAAGAGTAATAACTTTGTCTTTGTAAATAGTAAAATTATATTTAATAGTCATGATCGATCGTGATTAATTAAGATCGATTCTAATGCTAAATTTTTTTTTTGCGATTCCATTCAATTGGGATCAATCATGATTAATTAAGATCGATCCCAATGCCAAATTATTATTATTATTATTATTTTTTACAATTTCACTTAATTATGATCGATCATGACTATATGAGATCGATATTAATGCATTAAGACCAAACTAAATTTCTGGTGGTTCTAATTAAATAGGACCGATCACGACTAGCCACACTTTTATTTTTTTGAACTGGTCCCGATCTTATATTTAGTTATATTAAATTGACATGTAATTTCAAAATATTAATTAACATTTTATGAATTAATGTTAATTTTATGAATTTTAAATTTATAATTTTGAATGTTAATTTAATACAATTGAAGGTCAATTTAATGTTATTTTTGATAAATTGAGTGTTAGTTAGATAAAATTAAAAATTAATTTCATAAATTAATTAACATTTTATGAATTAATGTTAATTTTATAAATTTTAAATTAATGTTAATTTTATGAATTTCAAATTTATAATTTTGAATGTTAATTTAATACAAATGAAGGTCAATTTAATGTTATTTTTGATGAATTGAGTATTAGTTGGATAAAATTAAAAATTAATTTCATAAAATTACGTGTCAATTTAATATAACTAAATATAGGTTTGGAACCACTTCAGAAAAAAAAAAGTTCGGTTAATCGTGATCGATCCTATTTAATTGAAATCAACAGAAATTTAGTTTGGTCCCAATTTTTGGACCATCAAATGCATTAAGATCGATCTCATATAGTCATGATCATTCATAATTGAGTGGAATTACAAAAAAAAAAAAAATTGGCATTGAGATCGATCTTAATTAATCATTATTGATCATGACTATAAAATGTAATGTTACTACTTGCAAAGACAAAATTATTACTCTTGAAATAAAGTTATCTCTTTTAAAAGGTAAGGTACAAATTTTTTAGGTAAGATTATTACAATTGAAAGTAAAATTACTATCTTTGAAAGTGAGGTTATAATTATTTATGAAAAAATTATTATATTTAGATATAAAATTATAACTATTTAAGGTTAAATTATAAGCACTAAAGGTAAAAATAGCACCTCTAAATGTGAGGTGAAATTACAATTTATTGAGGTAAGTTTACGACTTTTTAAAGTAATATTGTTATATTCATAGGCAAAATATTTAATGTCAAAAAATTTGCAGTCACACCTTTTTTTTTTGGTACGATATTACTGTTTCACCAGACCGTACGTAGACTCCCGATTATGTCAGTGAGCCAGCCCTGGCAACATGGACTTGATTACAGTACAAAATAAATAATTTTGATATCGTACCAAGGTAGAGTTCCGAGACAATGAATGGTTCTCTTTTTACAGAACTAATATATAAATAATATGAAAAAATTAATGATAGACCTACAGGGTGACCATCTTGTTGATCTACAAAGTATAAGCATTATAATAACCATAGCTTTTATCATGTCCAAATATTGGGTCAAAGTTCTATCGTCAGTTACGATTAATTTTAGGGGTGTATTAGGACTTGAGTTAAAATTTTTAATACTTGAGTTGGGCCTGAACAAAACAAATCTCAACTCAAATTGAATTTGGGCAAACTTCAGGTTAAGACTTCGGATTATTGGGTTCAACTCGAATATTAAAATTAAGTTGAACCCGAATATACATAAATTTATAAATATATTTAATTAAAATTAGTATTAGAGTTCATACTTTTAATTCACTTCAAGTCTTCATCCTTGCGCCTTTATCACTCTTAGATCTCTCTCACTCTCCATTCTTCCCTGTCTTAATCGTCACTCGTTTGTTTCAAACTCTCAGTCTCCTTCTTTCACCCATCACTCTTCCCTCTCTCACTCCCTATCACTTCATCTGCGTCTCGCCTTTTATCTCAAATCACTTTAAAAAATCAGATCTACTTTTGAAAAAATCAAATTTACACTTCAAAAAATCAACTTGAATTAAATATCTCAATCCCAACCGATTTTTAACCCGAAATCAGCCTAAATTAAGTAACTCGAATTCAATCCAAGCCCTTCCGAATTAAACTCGGATACTATTCCGGTTGAGTTAGGGTTAGGATTAAAGTCGAAAATTATATATCTAAAATTGGGCTAGAGTTAACATTTCAACTTGCCCAAGTTACACCCTTAACTAATTTGTTTGTAACTTTTAGTTAGCAAGCCACTGCAGCGAGTGCTTGAGAGAACAATATGGTAAAACTAAAGGCAATTATTCTATTACTCTTCCCAATTAATTGATAAATAATACAAAACTTGCAAAGTGTCCCAAAATTAAATTGTCGCGGAAAGTTGCCATCGAACTCCAAAAAATAAGTTAGAAGTCTAACTCTGTTATCTCACGTGGAATCGAGCAATGTGGTTGATTCATGATTAAATTAGATTTGTGTAGCAGCCTTGCCTTTAATCTCCAATACCTTATCCAATGCATCTCTTCCTTTCTCATCTATTCCTATTTGTGTTTAGCCTCAAACCCACCATTCCCCTTACATAGCGTTAAACCCACTATTCCCACTATATAAAGCCTAAGCATTTATACCAATTCTTCGCTCAGGGCGACTTTAATTGAATAGTCAACAAGATGAACCTCAAAATGGGGCTTGAAACCATTCAATATAATCCTAAGAAATGTTCAATATGTAATTAATACCCCGATTAGAATCTGCCTGCAATGAAAAAACAGTAAAATGCATTGCCAATCAAGAAAAAGCATCCATATAAGCCCCTTTACCAACTAACGTAATGACATTGACATTGCATAAGGAAATGTTCTGGGTGTACTTTTGTATCTGTATAATCGTAAGAAAATATAGTTGAAAATACTAATAATACCATATATATCCATTCACTATCTATCTATCGCATATGTTTTGGTAGATATTGTTGTAAATGGTGAAACATATATACAAGTAAAAGGATGTTAGAATGAAAATTTTCAAAATGAAACACCAAGCCTGAAAACCTCCATATCTACAACTAACAAAAGTGCAACTTTTAAAGTTAAAAGAAAGAAGGTGAAAAATGGTCAAGAACTAACCAATGGTTAAAATTTCGTTTCGATGTATTGTTTCAATTACTTAAGAAACGGAAACGTTAATATTTCGATATATTTCAGAAACGTTTTGACCTGTTTCGAAAATATAATGAAAATATAAAAAATTTAAGAATTATTTTTTTAAAATATTGATCAAAATATATTAAAATATCTTTAAATACCTTATAAAATTTCAAAACATTATGGAATACCTCAAAATATTAAAATTTTGATTTCCTCACTAATTCGTTTCAGTTTCTTTGGAAACGGAAACGTTTCAGACGTTTCGACCGTTTTGAAATGATATTTTGATCCTTGGAACTAACATATTAAAGCTAATGTACTTCCTATACACCATCACAAAACCCAAAAGATTTGTTTAATCCTTTATCAGTTAAACTTAACAGAGTTTTAAAAGCTCATAATCAAGAGTTCGCTCACAATCAAGTTAGTCTCGCTATTTGAGCTTTGTGTTCAATAT